TGGGCCGATGCCTAGAAATTTTTGATTAAAAATCACGCAACATTATTTTGGGTCGAGTCATCTTCTGGATCAACACAAAAAATTAGACTCTACAAAAGCCCAACATAATACAAGAAAATGTTCCATCCTTGATCCACCACAATACCTATCTTTCATCTCTTGCTATGGTCATCACCCCCCCGACCAAAATGTTCCATAGAAAGGCTGTGAAAGACTCAAGTTTGCTTCTCTTGCAACCGTTGAAACTGGCCTCTAATTGGAGGCAGTCGACTCCCTCGGATGTGATGTAGTAGATGATGCGACTAATGAGGCGATCTTCATGGGGCTCAAGAGTTTTTGGTGGCGGTGGCAGCGATAACAGAAAAATGTATACACCATCAATGACTTTGTCATATTGACTAAAGCGTCAAAAAATTAAAGAGTGAGATACAGGTTTTTTTTGAATAATTTGTGCCTAGGCTATCACATCTAAGCTCCGTCATCTCTTTCATTTAATTATAATGAATCAGTTAGATGAAAACTTTGATTATGAGCATGATAGTTATATATACAATTATGAACTCATACAAAATCGATACGGGATTTGTGGGTTTCAGTTTAGTTTTAACACATTTGGGAGTAAATGATGGTCATGTCATGTTCGACACATAAATGACTAGTCGGTCACTTGAAAAAATAAGTCAATATAGATTTGATAAAACATAACACGTAAGATTTCATTTATGCAACTTAGACCTACAAGGGTTCCCCAAGCAAGTTAGAGACACCCTATCTATGTAGAATTTTAATGGAGGTATAAATTGATCCAGTGTCACTGTATCTAATGAAAGAGTAATGCTACGTAAAATTAAAAAATAAACTTTTTTGGGTGAAAGTGATGGATGGACTTCTCACCAATATTGATTGATTTCGTCCATGCTTGAACTTAACAAATGCACGAAACAGTTGTATATATCAATTTTCTAAATTTCTACTTTTTTGTCAAAATATTTAATTGGAGTAAGCAAATGGTATTGAAATAGGCCAAGCATCTGGCAGCTGTGCATGAGTAAGTGAAAGTCGTACCAATCTTGGAACTTTCTATTATAATTTTACGATAACATGATTCTAATGTCTTTAGGTAAACCTGAGTTGCCAGAGTTATCGTTATTGAATGGACCCATAATTTTTGGCTATAAATTTTGATCTTTAATTAAGAGTATCTCTAATCTTGATTCAAATTTTTATTTAAATTTGTATCAACATTTTAGGAAAAAATTTGATTTAATACAAAGAATTCCAATGAATAAACTCAACTTTAAAGAGGGTGAAATATGATTATTAAATCTTTAAAGATAATGACATCTGACCATTGGTAATTTGAGTAAAAACATTAAGTCTTTCTTGAATTGGTGTGCCTTTGGGTGTATGATTCGAAAAGTTTTTTGGGTTATTTTTACCCAAATTTTAATTTAGGTATAAAAAAGAGTAAGAGCTGAAAATTCTTTAATAGCGGGCAAACATTCATATTTTGCATTTGAGTAAGGCTATGATACCAAATTGGTATCATCTCAAAATCCATCTCCAGCAGTTGATTTTCATTTGAATAATTTGTAATCATTGACTGAAAAAAATAATAATATACAGACAAAATTAAGTACTTTTACACATGTTAAAATTTTATTGGTTGAAAAATAAATATACGTTACTAAAAAGCGGCTTATCGGAAGCCAGACCCATTGCATTCAAAACAAAACATCTCTATTACCCATAAGAAGAAAAATGAAATTTATATATATTTTGCATTGCCTCATTGAAGAGGTCTGAGATAAAATTCTCCCTACTAGTTTATTTTGTTGTTTCGTTTATTCTACCAATAATTTCACTAAAAAAACGTTGAGAACCACTTAATTTGGAGAAAATATTCTTAATGTTAGGAAAATTAGTTTCAAGCAAGTGAAAAAGGGGACAATTTAAGGATTTGACACACGTAAAATGACTTTCTTTAAACTGATATAATTTTCTTTTACTCTAACATTTTGTTGAAAGTGTTTTTGGCAAATTATGTTCGTGATAGAACAAAACCATAAACTAATTTTGTAGACAATAATTTTGAAAGAATTACTTATTATCTTTTTGAGTTGTTCAATTTAATATAGAGGCAGGTCTAAAAAAATTATGGGTAAATTTTGTTGGCACCCCCAAAATTTAAGTTATATTTCATTGACACTCCCTCTAGTTTCTGAAACAGTGCTGCATGCTCCTATCAATTTTTGTCTGTTAACAAACCAAACAGAATACGTAATTGTATTAAATTACCTATACCAGAAAACTCATTTTACTTAATTACATTTACTCAAATTAATACAAAATTAATCTACAAATTTATCAAATTAATATTAAATTAACAATTAATTTTTTTGATTAATATTTAATTTTATTAATTAATACCAAATTAATATTCAATTTTATCAAATTAACACAAAATTAACATTCACTTTCATTAAATTAGCATTCAATTCATCCAATTAATATTCAATTTTATTAAACTAATACCAAATTAATATTCAATTTCATTAAATTAGAACCAAATTAACATTCAATTTTATCAAAATTACATTAAACTTCATCAAATTAACTACAAAATTAATATTCAATTTGATCTAATTAACACCTAATTAACTATCAATTTTAACAAATTAACATTAAATTTCAAAAAATTAATACAAAATTTTACCAAATTAACGTGAAATTCATCTTAAATTTTATAAAATAATTATTTTATTTTAGAAAGCTAATGTTCAATCTCATCAAATTGATATTTAGTTTTGTAAAATTAACACTAAATCAATATTTAATTTCATCAAATTCACCCCAAACTAACATTTAATTTTATCAATTTAACATCCAATTTTATCAAACTAACATCATTTTTTTGTTTGAATTTTAAATTAACTTTCAATTTCATCAAATCAATACCAAATGATCATTCAATTTTATAAAATTAACATTCAATTTTTTAAATTTGACATTTTGTTTGATCTATTTTTTTATAGGAAACATTCTATTAAATCTAATGAGCATTTAATTTAATTAAATTAATATTAAAAGGATGTTTCCTATTACTTTAAGATTGATTTAGATGACCAAGTATAAATTTGACAATTCATAAGGGAATAAATCATCACATTACACCTTTTTTTTTTGCTTCTCAGTAATGGCATTAGATGGAAGGGGTAATTTGTCAAACGTGTCTATAAATAACAGGGTTGTGCAGTAATATTTCAAAAACTAGAGGGGGTGTCAGTGAAATATAACTTAAATCCTAGGAGTGTTAGTGAAATTTATCCAAAAATTATTAGTTTTCCGTTCAGAACCAAAAATTGAAAAAAAAAAAAACTTTGAAAATGAAGCATTCCGCTTAACCATAAAAGAATAAAAAATAGTTTAATCACTGAATGGTATAGATAAATTTTGGTATTTTTTTGACAACATATATATGTAATCTCTATTCCCACGTCATTTAATTTATTATTATCAAACTATTAAGTCCAGCCCTTTTATACTTCTCAATTAAAAACTAAACTCACTCCATGTTACATACACCCTCTTTAATAAATAAACACACTTTATATTTTGTCATAATTAGGGTTTCATTTTTTATCTCTTCTTATACACTTACAAAAACACTTTCTTCAGTAAGATATATATTAATATTATTTCTCAATTTAATTTTATGTTTGATTCCATGTTTGTTGTATGAATTTTTATTATTTTTAATATATTTTGATATCTTTGTCGAGTTTAATAAATTTTTATCAAAATTTATGGGTGTATAAATATGCATACTTTTAGATTATTTATTCTTTTTTATCTTATTCGATTTTGTGTCTGTGCTTGATACTTGTTTTTTTTTTCATGTTTGATTTCCCGTCTTGTGGTTTTGCATCTTGTAATTTTGCTTGTTATTTTAATATTTGTTTGTTTGTTTTTTTTTGCCTTCTTGTTTTGATTTGCTTCTTTTTCCCTTTTTCTTCATTGTTTTGTTATTTTCTTTGTTTTGGTATGTTTCTTTCTCTCTTTTTTTTGGTTTCATTCTTTTCTTTTTTCTTGTTTTAGTTTTGCTTTTTTTTTTTTTCCTTTGTTCTTGTTTCGTAAATATATTTATGCATTCAAATTAATTGTCATCTTTCACCATATGATAACTTCCTTTTGTATTTTTATTTGATGTCGTACTTTCTTGTGTTTCTTTTGGACTTTGATAGATTCCGTGTGTGTGAAATTATCGGACCAGAAATTCCAATATTATGAGGTATGCAACACAATTCCTAGATACAATAACTCTTTTTATTGTTAATGTCATTGATGTCCCAAGAGATGGACATTGAGAGTTCGGGTGTTTGCTCGATTCTTGGAGATGGGGGATGATGTATAGTTGGAAATAAGTGAGGATATACTTGTTAAATGAGTTGAAGACATTTAACATTAATTCTTACTGGGGTGAATGTATCATGAGGTGGACTTAGTTACTAATGAAGTGAATATAAAAAGAGTGAACTTTAGTTTGATAATGAGAAATCAAATGGGATAAAAATAAAGATTTATAGGTCGAGAATAACTTCATCCATATGGTTTTGTTTTTACTTATTTCTTTGTCTCCTCACCCCCTCCCCCACCCCCTCCCTCACCTTTCGACCAAGTGGGTTTTGTAAAACAACTCATATTATTTAGTTTTCTAAGGAGAGCCAGCTAATGGTTACTATGAACCAAATATATATATATATATATATTGGGTAAACCTCTCCCCCCTACAAATTTAGAGGATATCAATTCATACTGTATTGTTTGTGTTGGAATGGAAAGGACAAACACACGCACACACACAAGTATAAAGGAAGAGACTTAGATTGGAGAAGTAAGAACTCTTTTAATATCACTTAGATGCGACATAATTTACCAAATACAAAAGCAAAATCTATATATTTATGACAAGTTGCATGAAATGTCATACATTTATTATCTTAATTTAAGTAGTCATCTCTGAATTTCAGATAAGCAGGAGTTAAGGGCCTAAACACATGAGATGCTTCCTTCTTAACCAAATCCAAATGCTTTTCAGGGAGGTGCATGTACACGACCCAATCTCCTTCCCTGCTTATACTAGGCATTGGCATCACAAACCCAGTCTGGCCACCCCATGGGAAATAGTACGACCCGAAATCAGGTCGTCCCCATCCAAAGTCCATCTCTGATACTATAAAGCGTTGTCCCGATGACACGACAACCGCTTCTTCATCATTGCTCTCTTTGAAATATACCTTTGCTACTATTTGCTCTGGTCGATGCAACTCCACCCAATCAATCAGTCCGAGAAAATGTTCCTCCTTGGCACCTTCCACACATTTGTTATCCTACCGAAATATATGAAGTTGTTGAAAGTAAGTTACGACTAAAAAAGACGTTCAATATTCAATGCAAACAAAGTACTAATTTGTAAAGTTAGCATCGATTCTAAATGTTAGAATCAATTTCAAACACTATTCCATCTTATTGTAACTTCACCTAATAGAATCATACCCCCAACCTTAATTTGGTAACAACTAAATATGTCATAAAAAAGTAACTCATCGGTACCATAATCGTAACTCATCTACGCTTGCCTCATCATATGTAATGGAAACAAGGTTTCCAAAATAATTCTCCAATGCAAAGCTTTGTCTAACCTCCGGCGTCCATCCACTATAATACCCATTTTGCATTTCTTGCTATGATCATGGCCCCCTTCGGCCATAATCTTCCACAGGAAGGCTGAGAAAGACACAAGTTTGCTTCTCTTGGATCCATTGGAACTGGCCTTGGCTTGGAGGCGGTCGATTTCCTCAGCTGTGATATAGTAGATGCGACTAATGAGATGATCTTCATTGGGCTTGAGATCTTTTGGTGGTGGTGGTGGCAACAATGACAAAAAAACGTACATATCATCAATGACCTTGTCATATTGACCTGGGCGTCGTGGATTGAGCATTGAGCGCCTAAAAATTGGAGTGTGAGATACAGATTTTCCTCGAGCAATCTGTGCCCATGCAACAAAGAACATGTTGGCTGAATAAGCATCGGCTACTCGATGATCGATTGAACATCCGATCATTAGATCACCACATTTGAGCTTTGTCACCTGTTTGGTTCAATTATTATCAATTAGGTTAGGGGCGGAGCTAAGGTTCCATATGGGGTAAAATACAAATAATTTTTTTTGAAGTTCAAAGACGATTTAAGACAAAATTATTATGAAAAATAAAATTGTTACCATTAAACCTTAACTAAATATGGACAAAATAGACACAAAAAAACTTTAACATTGTACAGTTTAACTCAATCATGTTAAAGCGGCACATAAAATACTTTCAAATCACAAACATTGTCTATGCTTTCTATAGGTTAAATTTCTTAGCATTTGATTCTCATTTTATTACGAAGCATAGTCAAGATTTTCTTTCATCTTGTTGAGGAATTGATTCATTGAAAAAATAAAAAATATTTTTGGGTTAGAATACTTTACCATTTGTATGGAATTAATATTATTAGGTTACATGTCACTAAATTATCAAAATAGTGAAAGTCAACTATACACTTATTTTCAGCAAATATGAGCAATGCATTAAATGTTAATATTGTCTTTGAATAATTATAGGTTAGGACAATTCACATTTTTTGTATTGAAAAGATGTTTGTTATTATACAAATTTTATAAAACATAAGGGAGAAAATGTATCATTTCTCTCCCTTCTAAATTTATCGTTTCTCACTTTCGGTGCATCTTACCTTTATGGTTTACCCTTATTTGTGGAGGATTTTCAACTTAGTGGGGCTGAGCCTGCCCCCCCAAAAAAAAACACAGACAAACGTAACTTCACCCCTGATTTGGTGGATGAGAAGTCTCATTGTGGTTAGTACTAGTGTCACTTCCAAAATATAAAGAAGATTACAAGCTTAAAATTTAGTGTAACATGAAGTATCCTTGTAAAAAAAATTATAGAGTCTTGGACTTGACTCGAATTTTTTTTCAAAACTTATTATGTTTATGAGTATTTTTATAAATTTTTTTTTGTCACTTTTGTGGATGATTTTTTATTTTTTTAGATATTTTTATTATTTTTGTGAGTACTGTTACTATTATTGTGATAATTATTTTTATCATTTTTTTAATTGCAAAAAAAAAACTACCATTTTTATAGGTGATTTATTACTTTTGTGGGCGTTTTTACCACTACTGTTGTTGTAACTATTTTTGGCACTTTTATCGGGTAGGGTGGGGCTATTCCCACCTCACAAATTTCTATTCCTACCCCATTAAACTCTAAATCATAAAATTATCAAAAACACCTCTTCTATACCCATGCCCTTGATAACTAAGGCCACCACATTCTATACCCACCCAACTAAACTTCTCTCAATCTTCAACTTTAAAGTTTCTTTCTATACTCATCTCACACCATCCATACCAAAATATACTCAACTTGATTATCTAATATAGATCTCTCAAATGATATTCAACACTAATNCCTTTGTTTCATTGGGTATGGGGGTAGTGACCACTACTTATTGAAAAGATGTTTGTTATTATACAAATTTTATAAAACATAAGGGAGAAAATGTATCATTTCTCTCCCTTCTAAATTTATCGTTTCTCACTTTCGGTGCATCTTACCTTTATGGTTTACCCTTATTTGTGGAGGATTTTCAACTTAGTGGGGCTGAGCCCGCCCCCCCCAAAAAAAACACAGACAAACGTAACTTCACCCCTGATTTGGTGGATGAGAAGTCTCATTGTGGTTAGTACTAGTGTCACTTCCAAAATATAAAGAAGATTACAAGCTTAAAATTTAGTGTAACATGAAGTATCCTTGTAAAAAAAATTATAGAGTCTTGGACTTGACTCGAATTTTTTTTCAAAACTTATTATGTTTATGAGTATTTTTATAAATTTTTTTTTGTCACTTTTGTGGATGATTTTTTATTTTTTTAGATATTTTTATTATTTTTGTGAGTACTGTTACTATTATTGTGATAATTATTTTTATCATTTTTTTAATTGCAAAAAAAAAACTACCATTTTTATAGGTGATTTATTGCTTTTGTGGGCGTTTTTACCACTACTGTTGTTGTAACTATTTTTGGCACTTTTATCGGGTAGGGTGGGGCTATTCCCACCTCACAAATTTCTATTCCTACCCCATTAAACTCTAAATCATAAAATTATCAAAAACACCTCTTCTATACCCATGCCCTTGATAACTAAGGCCACCACATTCTATACCCACCCAACTAAACTTCTCTCAATCTTCAACTTTAAAGTTTCTTTCTATACTCATCTCACACCATCCATACCAAAATATACTCAACTTGATTATCTAATATAGATCTCTCAAATGATATTCAACACTAATCTCATATGCATTATATGATTTATATCTTCCTTAATTATTGGTTTATCTCTTATATTGTATTACTTATTGTGGAAATGTGGTTATTGACAATGAGAACCTCTTCATTGGGTGGTGAGACTACTATAAGACGCTGAAGTGGCGGCCGTTGAGGAAGGACCTCATAGTAATGATATCCACATATTTTTTCTCGCCTTTGATACTCAAAAAGTTTGTATACATATAATGTTAAATACATGTATAATTATGTGTGTGTGTGTGCAGATATAAAAAATATACAAACTTAACTCTCTTTTTTAAGAGAAATTCGCATATAATGTTTAGTGTGAAGGCTTATCTATTTTTTTTGATAACATTCTTACCAACTTGAGTATCACTTGAGAGATCGATACTAAATAATCACGTTGATTATATTTTTGTATAAACTATGTGAGATAAGATAAAATATTCATTACAATGGTGATACCATGTGGCAAGATGATATGATATCACCAATCAATAATATTAAAACAAATAAGTATATAGACCCCACAAAAATCTATAATTACCTTGTCATGTAAGCAAATAACTCTCTATCTTTCTGTCATGTAAGTTCAAGTGGGATTCACCTTTCTTATTTGAGGTTTTATTATTGGTTGGTGATACCATGTCATCAACGATGACATGATATCACCGTTGTATTCAATATTTACTCATGAGATAGAGTATTAAAAGAAACCAAAAAAAAAAAAAGATTGAGATGAATTTAATAATTAGTGGGGTGGGTATAGAATGTGCTAGATTTGGTTACTAGTGGAGTCGGTAGTTTTATAATTTAGAATTTAACAGGGTTGGAATGGAGATTTGTGGAGGTGAGAATAGTCTCACCCTATTTGGTACTACAACAGTGGTAAAAACACTAACAACAATAATAAAAATTCTTACAAAAATGATAAATGTCGATATGGTACCAATTTTTTTTTTTTTTTTTNATTCCAAATACATATATAGATAGATAATATGAAACAACAATTTGAGCTTTGAAAAAACAGAGAAAGAATGGACAAATGATTTTTTTTTGAAACCTTAACCATATCTGTGGAGGCGAGTAAAAAGAGTCTTCTTGTGCTAAGCTGCAAATCAGTTCCTTGATGGATTCAGCATTGATTGCAACCATGACGATGTCACCACTAGCTAGCCAGAGAGAGAGAGAGAGAGAGAGAGAGGAGCTNAGCACTGTGACACTCTAACTTGGTACTAGATATGTTTATAACTTATAATAAAAGCAAAGATGTTTTTGTTTCAAAGTTCAAAATCATTTGGGTGAATGGGATGGGCTAACTACTCACCATAATTGATTGATTTTGTGGTGTGGTCTGAGCAAATAGGGGTGTCCATGCTAAAAAAAATTGAAAAATTTAGATGTCGGTCCCCCTATATGAATTTTTTTGAACCTAAGTTTGTCAAAAAAACTTATTTGTTATGAAGTCTATTTTTTGTTAATTTTACCAGACTATCCCTTCTCTTTAGAAGTAAAATAAAATTAAAAACTCCTAAATTTTAAGAGTTCGACTAACATTAAAAAATTTTCTTTCTCATATCTATCTATATCCATATATAGGTTTGTAACATTCAAATACAAAAAAATTTATCATTTAAACACAAAAAATAGTAATATTTAAACATAAAAAAATAGTAACATTCAATATTAATATTTTTTAAAAATAACAATAGTAATATGTTCAACAAAAATAGTAACATGCTTAATTATAAATATCTCTATCATATCTATTTATATCCATATATAGAATAAGACTATTATATATATAGTAACATTAAAAATAAAAAATAGTCAAATTCAAACGCAAAAAATAGTACCATTTAAAAACAATAAAATAGTAATATTCAAAAAAAAAATAGTAACATTGAATATTAATATTTAGGAAAATAATAATAGTAACATGCTCAATAAAAATAATAACATGCTCAAAATAATAGTAACATAAACAATAATATACTCAACAAAAATAGTAACATGAATAGTAACATAGTAAACAAAATAGTAACATGAAACATTCAAGCCCAAAAAATAATAATATTTTAAAAAAATGTAACATATAATCGACATGATAGTGGATAGATGAGCAAACAGTAACATATTCAACAAAAAAAAATTGAACAAAATTGGGACAAGTACTCTGTGCAAAGGAAATGAATATTTAACAAAGATTTCGGAGTTTAATTTTTCCAAAACCTTTAACAAAGTTCAAAACTGTCTACCTAATTCACTAGTTTTTCAAAAAGGGATTAATGATCAAATGGTCCACCAGTTTTTCAAAAGGCCTTCTTGTGCTAACTCGTTGAATCTATCGATTCCAAATACATATATAGATAGATAATATGAAACAACAATTTGAGCTTTGAAAAAACAGAGAAAGAATGGACAAATGATTTTTTTTTGAAACCTTAACCATATCTGTGGAGGCGAGTAAAAAGAGTCTTCTTGTGCTAAGCTGCAAATCAGTTCCTTGATGGATTCAGCATTGATTGCAACCATGACGATGTCACCACTAGCCAGACAGAGAGAGAGAGAGAGAGAGAGAGAGGAGCTCTGAAATTGAATTTTAAATTTATGATGAAGATTTTATTACCATATTTTATTTGACATTGAATTAGGGGATAACAATTTCTAAGATATGAAATTAATTTAACCTCCTTTCAAAGAAGATTATTTTGAAATTTAAAAAAATAGTGGATTTAACTACTTATTAGTAAAATTAAAAATAGACTTATCCCAAAATAAGTTTTCTTGACGGACTAAATTTATTATAAGTCCATTGAGGAGGACTTAACCTCAATTTTCACAAAAAAATAAGCCTAAAATTTGATACGTCTGATAGTTTGTTTGTTTGAGTTCGAATCCAATATCTTTCAAGAGAAGACTTAAGTCTACCTCAAACTCATTATCCAGCCCGAAATTTGGCTTAATAAACGCCCCCCCCCCCCCAAAAAAAAAAAAAGCTAGTTAAAATCCAGCCCAATGGGCCCGCCTGCCCAACCCAATCAAAACATGGAAATAAGTCGCTCCATGCCAAAATTCGAAGTTTAGAAATTTAGATATTATAAATAGGAAAAATTTCGGTCACACCCCTTCAAGTTTATCATATCTTGAAAGACACTCACTCTAGTTTCTGAATCTTTACTGACACTCTTTGTCAGATTAAAGACCTTAACTAAAATACCATTTTATTAAATTGCTCATGATATATTTTAGAAAAAATATCATCTATTCTTTTCAAGATAGATATATCTTCAATGAGACCCCATCTATTTTATAAATTTTTTTATGTATAAATTCAGGTCGAACAAAATTTGATTTGAGTTGAATAAAATTCATTTTTCATAAGCTCGAATCAAATTTAATCTATTCGTTTTGAATTTTAGTTGACCTGAATTTTGAAACACAAAAAAATCTAAATTTTAATCAACTGAAATTTTAATACATAAAAAATAAATTTTAATCAATTTGAATCAAATTTTAATTGGCATAGATTTTAACAAGAAAAAAAATATAAATTTTAATCGACTTTAATCGAATTTTAATCGGCGCTAACAACTCAGGTTGAGATCAAATTGATTTGAATTTTAATATGTAAAAAAAGAAATTTTAATATGCTCGAATTTTAATACGTAAAAAAAATAAAATTTAATCAGCTTAAATCAAATTTTAATATATCGAAAAAATTAATCAACTCAAATTTTAATATGTAAAAAAATAAATTTTAATTGACTCGAATTTTAAGTAAAAAAATATTTGGGGTTTATGTAGGGGCAATTTTAGTATTTTAGATCAATTTTTTTTTTATCAGAAATGAGTTTAATGGCCGGGGGTGTTAGTGATGTTTAAATAGAAATTAGAAGATGTGTCAGTGATGTTTTGGATAATAAATGGAGTGTTCGTAAATATATGATGATCTAGAGGGAGTGTGACTGAAATTTTTCCTTATAAATAATGTATCTTTTTCTTTTACATATATTAAACATACATGCTTTAAATGGTAGAGTTGTGCAAATGATAGGTAGGTGGATAAGTGTCAACCTAATTAGCTATTGTGATGCAATTCCTCCCCTATGTATAAATAAAATTATTTATTATTTATTCTTTGTCCATTTCGACTTTACTTTTAATTTAAAAATAAAATTGACAAAAATATTCATTATATATAAATAAAATTATATATAAAAAATCCGTCTAGTAGACCCGTTTGCAGGTCGTCCGCAGACCTGCTTAGTGAGTGGACTACGAATAACTTATTTCTATCCGAAATCCAGCTCTACCCACCCGAATAAAGACTTAGACTTACTTTACCCATATCCAACCTAAAAAATATTTCACGGGCCGGCCCGGGACACCCCTAATTAATGAGCAAATGGTATTGAAGTTCAGAAGTTAGCAGGAAAATTCGATGGCTGTGCATGAGTCATTTGCCACCATGTGCAAGATATCGGTTGAGGGATATATATGGTTCAGTCGAGTCATGCGATTCGACGAGTCATTTGAGTTATTATTACTATTATCGAATCGGCAGCAATGTTCTACGGTATATGAAGATGACTAAAATCTCTCGAGATGATCATTTTTTTATTTGTATTTGTGCAAAATCAATGATGAATCAAGCATGCTGTCGAAGGGTTTTTGGCCTTTCTCCTTTGCATTCCAGCATAGAAACAATAATGGTTGCAGTACGCACACGCGTCTCATTTTTGTTGTAACAATAGTATTCATTTTCTACACGGCAAAGTGTCACTGACTCGAAATTAGTAAGGTTATGATGACTAGTCATCGAGTTCAAAAACAATACGATGAATAGAATAATAGACCATCCTAGTAATTGCTAAACATAAATAATCCAATTTTCAACATGACAGAGAAGTTTAACTGATAAAATCTGAAGAAAGCAGAGATGTTTTTCATTTTTTTTTCGCGTTTCTTGGTTTAGGATTGTAGGAATAGTTGAAGAGGACTCGAAGAAAGGCTTGTTTGATCAACCAAAACACAACTCGATTATTAATTATGTCAATTTACCGAAATGATTATATGAAAAAAAAAAAAAAAACTCACCTGAACGGCAAGCACACCTTGCTTCTTAATGGGGACCAATTTCCCATCAACGGAGTCATCAGGGTGATAGAGGTCAAGGTCGAGTTCTATCATCTGGAGCCCCTAACAAGTGTAGGGCCTCGAGTTACCTCTACATTTGCAACTCCCCGGTTGTTGCAGAGCAGCTCAGGCTCGCCGAGGCGGTTCTAGACTACTTCTCCGGCTAATGCATAGAAGGAGACTAGGGCTTGAGACAAGGCTTTCTTGATAGCGTTCACCATGTTTTCGAACTGTTCTTGGTCAGTTCTTTTTCTTGTAGCAGAAGAAAACTTCCACGTCCAAGGGTGGTAGAAGCAAATCCAGGTTTGACATTGGTAACCAATGCTCCAGCGTTGACAGCACAGCTGCCACCACCTCTCTCTTCTTTATGATCATAGAAAATCCACAAGGACCCATCTTACTTTTAGAGAGAGGGAGAGATGACAGTGGTCAAGGTGCAAGATGATGAACTTGTGGGCAGATTTATATAACTCGGATTCACAGGGTAGTTAAAGCCTAATATGTTCGAAATACACATCATCAGGCTAGCCTCAAACTAGAGTTAAGAATGGTTGCGCTGACTTGGCAGTGTATCAAAGTTATGTTGTGTTAAAATTTAATGGAATCATACATAATATTTTTATCTCCCTGTGTTGCTAAGTTTTAATCTGTGTAGTGGATCCACTCATACCATATGAGCAGTAAATCTCTATGGGAAGCAAAACCTACTTAATCCTGCTCATGGAATTGGAGGTGTCTCTGAATCTCAAAGAAGTTTTCAAGTCTCTAATGGTCCACATCATTGGAGATGATCATAATACTGGGACCATCATTGGAGATGATCAGAATACTAGTCTATGGTATAACAACTGGCACCCCTTAGATCCCCTCTTGCAAACCAATGAACAAAGGGTAATCCAAGTCACTTGAATTCCTAAGGAACTATGGAAGCCATGGTTAGTACGATTGTGACTAGCAACCAATGGAGCTGGCCTGATGCTGACTCAGAACATTTGCAAGCAATTGCCAACTCAATGCCAAACTACTCACCAGGTCAGAGCAGAGCAGACTCGGTAAAATGGATTCCAAGTCCTTCAGGAAAGTACTCAGTAAGTTCCACTTGGGCACATATCAGGGTTACGGGTTCTGCATTCAGATGGCATAAACTCATCTGGTTTGGGCAAAACATACCTAGAATGGCTTTCATCCTTTGACTTGCTGTCAAAAATATGTTGAGCACAAAGGATAGAATCTTGGCATACACTAACCAGTAATGGCGCTGAATGCATCTTATGCATGCGGGCTACAGAATCTCACCACCACCTCTTCTTTGAATGTGAATTCTCCCACAAAGTCTGGACATCTATTCTCCTCATCGGCAATATCCACTAGCAGCAGAGGTTGTGGAATGAATTCATACTACACTCCTTTGCATGCACCTCACAGCTAGTGTTGTTTAGACTATTATTATTATTATTTTGTTGTTGTATTTAGTTCATTTTGTGTTAACCCATTTATTTAATTAATCTAACGGGTCTTATCTATTTACCAGCTAAACTTACTAAGTTTATATGAATTTTATAACGAGTTTCCAGATGGTCGCTCGAATTACCTAACCTGCTCAAATGACATAGAGTTCCATAGGATAAGGTCTCTTGGGATCAAAATATGCATCTTTCTAAAAATGGAAGGGTAATGTTATAGGAATCTAGAAAATTGACCTAGTTGATATAATGATGTATCAACTGATAGAGTTTCAATGAAGAAGTCCAAGGGTTACANGATCTAGAAAATTGACCTAATTTGTTGATATAATGATGTATCAACTGATAGAGTTTCAATGAAGAAGTCCAAGGGTTACAATCACAACACTACTACTACACCATGTTATTTTAACATATAGGCTTGTCAATGGATCAAATTCTTATCTGAATTCGATTAGCCAGATTTAGATTAATATTTTTTTACCGATAATTTGAACTCGAATATTAATCTGATATTTTATATTTCACGAATTTGAATTTAGATATACCTATATATGATTCGATTCAAAATATTTATATTTTTTTATATAAATATTTAAAAAATTAAGTGATTATTTAAATAAATTTAGTTAATTAAGTTATTCGAATCGGATTGGATCAGATTGTTAACGGATTTTGATATGGAAACCAAAGATAAAATTCGTTAGATTATCATATCAGAGTTTCAAAAATGAATTCGGATTTAGATTCGAATCACTGAGAATCCAATCTAAACTTGGTCCGTTGATAGACCTACTCACATCATTAAATCAATAAGTTTAGTCAATTTTTGTTGGTACCAGTCAATAGCATTACTCTGGAAGAGACGAGTAGTTAGATTAAGGAAACACACGCATTTGAACAAGTCCAAGGATGGATATATTCCATTCAACTTAAAACCTAATTTTATTTTATTTTTGTCAGTAAGACTGTTTCGTTGATTAGAAATTTTGGATAATTCGAAATAACTCAAGACATGCCCGAAGGCTCCGATCCGAATAACTGTTAAAACAAAGGTATGGTGGTTGTCCAATGCAATAGATTATGGAGATAGCTCACATTTTAAAATGTAATTTGCAAGTTTGACACTTGTCTAGCACAAATGACGAGGCCAAAATCGAGAGAGATTCTTTGATGTAGCGTATGATACATTTTATACCTTGGAGATGATCTGCTGTTTAAGAACGTTGAAATTGACAGACTTGATGCACGAAATAACATAAATTCAAGTGATTATGATAAATGGAGGAGTCCCAACGAAATTTTAATACTCATTTAAGTCAGATAATGATGTGTTATCGTTTTGTGATATCTTATAACATGATATGAGGGACATATGACATGCTTTGTAGCCAAATATATCGAAACAATGTAAAAGGTGTAATTAAGTGTATACTTGTTTTTTGTGTGTGTGTGTGAGAGAGAGAGAGAGAGAGAGAGAGAGAGAGAGAGAGAGAGAGAGAGAGAGAGAGAGAGA